GTGCCATATCTTTGCCAAAACTGGCCCAGATACGTTTGAGGATAACTGGGCCACATTTGTGACATCATATGCGGGCCACTTTAGGCTCACAGCCACATTAGCCAGTGCTTACCATGCCATATCTTTCCCAAAATTGGCCCAGATACGGTTTTAATAACTGGGTCACATCTGTGGCATCATATCTGGGCCACTTTAGGCTCACAGCTACATTAGCCAGTGCTCACTGTGCTATATCGTTGCCATAACTGGCCCAGATTTGCTTTAGGATAACTGGGCCACATTTGTGGCATCATATGCGGGCCACTTTAGAGTCACAGCTACATTAGCCAGTGCTTACCATGCCATATCTTTGCCATATTATTTTTATTCGTTTTATAACAACAACAGACAAACAACATGACCCCCACCCCCCAAAAAAAAAAATGCCAGACGAATTTATAAATGACAAAAATGCCTGAATAAAATACATAAAATGAATATAGATCACGCAAGGACGGGGACAAAAAATCACCACAGAAATCATAGCCATAACAGATAAATACTATAAATAGTATAATAATCCTTAAGTTCAACTATTCTGTAAATATTGGAGGAAGGGACCCCAGAGCTTGGAAAAATTAAGAGACTTTGATTCGTTAAGCCGGTTCAGAACTATGTTAAATGCCACATAATATTCAGTTTTGTTAAATGACACTTGTCAATAATTCAAATTTACACAACACAAATTCAATTTGTTTTGTCATATTATAAGCTCCATAGAATGGTGTCATTTTGGCAGTGGTCCACAAGCAGGCCACTACACAGCCACATTTGAGCTAATAATGAACAAAATAAACCATAAATATACATTATCTGGGCCACACCTTAAGTGAGTTTTGCATCAACAATACTCAACATTGTAAAGAGAAATTTAAAAAGGTCCTCCATAAATGTTCAAATAAATTCCAGAAATATCTTCCCAGTATCTCTGGAGTTTCAGGCAAGACCAAAAAGCATGAGACAAAGTTCCCTCTGCAACTTGACATCGATCACACATAGGAGAATTTGAACTTAAATGCTTCTCACTCAGACTCTACCTACACAGTAAGTCTGTGAGTGCCATAGCTACGCTGTGTTAAAGAGCGCACAATTAAGATGGAAGGTTATATATCATAAGTCTTTAATCCAACAAGGGTAAATCCAAACACAATGTAGCACA